GTTAAAAGAATATGTAAGAGTTAGCCAAGAGGCTAGATATAATGGGCCAGGCAGTGTTTTTAAATGAATACAGTTTCTGTGTAATTATTTCGGGTAAAACTAGCCGGGAGCCTGCGGCAGGAAACAGTCCGCTCGCTCCTTTTACAAACAAGCAATAAAAGAAGGTCAGAAAAGAAGAAAATTGGAGCAGTTCCTGACACCCCTCTGCAGATACCATGTGCTTCAGACCAGAAGGGTTTACATACCATTCAGGGTCTATGTTTGTTTCATATATGACTGATGTCCAAAGGCAATGCAGATTTTGAATCCTGTAATTACTGATAAAATGGAGACCTCAGGACAACCCATCCACTCCTTTAGAATTTCAAGAAATCACATTCTTTACTTTCCAGAGCAAAAGAAAACCTGAGTGTAATAGAACACATTCTGGGCCTGGGTGTGCAGCTCACATTCTTGGCCACACAATAGCCCCGTCACCCAAAGCTTAATCTTCCACAGTTTCAGTTACCTATCATCAATCATGGTCCAAAAATATTCACAGGACTTGTTCTAAGTTTGTGACTGCATGCTGTTCTTTATAGCATGAGCGAAGTCTTTCGTGACCTTGCCCCATCCTGATGGGCTAAGCCATCCTCTTGCCCAGTGTATCCACCGTGTGGATGCTACCCACGCATGCGTCACTCAGCAGCTGTTTCGGTCATCAAACTGGCTGCCTCAGCAGCACAGGGCTTGAGTTCCAGTAACCCCTATCTTATTTACTAACGACTCTAGTGCACAAGAGGAGGGGGCTGTGGCGATTGGGATCTGCAAAGAGAAGCCCCAGGAAGTGCTTCTTTTAAGAGAAAGGCTGTGTGCTTTCAACCTAAGGAAAGAAATAAGAAATGAGACTAAGATTGCTCAGATTTATGGTATAATGAGATTTTTCCGTGAGAGAGAGAGTGAGTGTGTGTGTGTATGTGTCAGAGTAAGAGAGATTGTGAGCTAGTGTAGCACATGTGCACTCGTATCAGAGCCCTTTTACATTGTTTTGAGAGAGTCATCAAGTTGCCTAGGCAGGCCCCGGAATTGCAATCTCCCATCTCATCCTCCATGGTAGCTGGCACTGTAGATGTGCACCCCAGACAAGCTTGCTGTTAAACTCTTACTGTGCCTACCTTATACTTAAACTCTGCTGTAGGTCTGTATGTATACAGTTCAGTACTGCCACGGGTTCGGACATCCACCAGTGGACTCTTCCCCAGGATGAGATGCCCTGCAGGAAGCGGAGCCGATGGTCAGCCACCTTGAGCTGACCGTGATCTTATAGAGAAATGAACGCAGAGAGCATAAGCCCACCTTTTGGTCACACAAGGCAGACCCAAGGGCCAACAGAGAGACTAAAGCTTGCTGTACATGTATGAGGCCTGGAGTTTGGATCCCCAGAAACAAGAGTCTGGTTGAGACCTTGCCTCAACAAGAAAGGTGGAAAAGCAATCCAGAATGATTCCTCATTCAACCTCAGGCTTCCACACGCATGTGTGCACACACACACACACATACACGCACATGAACACACATACACATATGCACAACATACACAGATATACACACAGAAGAGGGGGAGGAGGAAGAGGAGGAGGAGGAAGAAAAAGCCGAATTCGGATCCTCTTACTCAGGTCCTTCTGGGAACCGCCCAGAGAAGAGAGACAAAAAGACAGGTCCTCACACCCACAGTAATTACTTATGACTTCACAGGGATGGGAAGATGGCCTCTGTCCCAATGGCTCCAGCCACACTGCTGATACATGGGCACCAGGTCAAGCACACAAGTTGCTTCCTCCCCACCCCCCACATTGCCAAGAAAACTCACTTCAATGAAGTCCAGCTGCACAGTGCAGCTTTAGACGCCTGGAACCATAAACCCTGGGGATAAACTCGGCCTTAAGCATCGCCACTCTTCACTCGCAGGCACGGCAGCCTGAGGATCCTTCACTTCAAATGAGGTTGGGTTAGGAAATCACAATCCAAACAAGAGCATCTGCAAGATTACACACAGGACACACAAACATAAACAGACCTGTTCTTCCACGGCCCTGGTCATCAGCCATCTTCCTCCATAGACAGGAATGGAACAGTCTAGTGAATGAGCTCCATAAACCACATTTCAAGCAGCTTTTCTTTTTTTCAAGATCAGACACACTCAAGCTGTCCACGGAAGCCAAAGAGCTTCAGAAGCCCTGTACGGCTTTCTTAAGTCGCTACACTTGGCATCTTCAAGTTGGACGAGTCCCAGAGCAAAGGCTCAGGCATGTATATGGTCAAGTCATAGCTCTCAGACCTCTCCTGACCCTTGAACAATGGTGGGATGGGATTGTCCCCTAACTGCCACATGCTTGTGGGCAAATTAATCTTCCTTCAGTGAGAAGCTAAGCCTGGGTTAAAGCTGGGAATTCTGGTTGTGAGTCAAAAGTGGGGTCCTGCAGTTCAAAGGACCAGTCAGCAGGTCCAAAATAGTGGCCCTTGCCCAGGACCTGAGGGTAGGGCACTGTGGACGGTGACTGATTCTGTCACACTAACACCCCACTGTCACAAGGTGCACCCACAGACACCCTTGGGTCAAGATGCAAGATGTCCCTAATGGTCCTGCCAGCTTCTCAGAACTTCAGACTAGCCACAAACCTCAACCCCAGGCTACCCGGAAAGACCTGGCTTCCTAGAAACAGCTAAATTGAGGCTTGGCAGGAAACCCCAGAGACTGAGAAGCAGGCAGCCCTGAGGTCTGTACCCTAAGATGCCTGTGGAAGACAAGCCTTCTAGACCCCAAGGTTCTTGTGACACTGTCTGTGAGCCTGGCTGGTAAAGGACACGGGGACATACACTGACTTCAATCTATGAGCAAAAGACTGGTGTTGTGAGCCACCTGTTCACAGCCCTGCTACTGAGGCCCAGGTGCCCCCTCTCCACTCTGATAAGACAGGGCCCTCCACCGCCAGCCCTCATGGCTGGCTCCACCCACTCGTTGGCTCATTCATTATCATCTAACTACTCTTCCCCTGAGCCAGGCCTGCTGGGAAAGGAGGCAGAAGCCCCTCCCCCACCAGTCAGCCCTGGCACCCTCCACGCACCACTCTGCTCCCAGCCCGCTGTGCTCCTGGCAGCTCCTCTTTAAGCCTCTGCAGATGCCAGCACACCAGGCTCTCTCTGTTTAGAAGGGATTACTTATGGTTGGATGAACCATCCAGTACAAAGGTCAGATACCAGCATGCCAGGGAGCAGGGAGGCCAACTTCAGCAGCTCCCAACAGGGAGGAAGAACTGCAACCTACATAAACATTTTCCCCAGAAAAAAGAAACAAAATAGCCAAGTTTAGTGGCTCTCTGCTAAACGCTCCTGGGGCAATGAGGCCCTAGCACGCTGGACAGGAAAACAAAGCTGCATCTGGGGAAGGACCAAATGTCCCTTAAAGTGGCACAGAAGGAGTTACTCATTACTAGAAGCAGTTGTGGGCCCCTAAACGTGAGGCTAAAGTGACAGCAATGAAGAGACTATCCCAGTGAAGCAAACAGTCAAAGTGTGAGGCTCAGCCTACAGGAGCCCAGAAGGTGACCCCACCAGCAGACAGCAACCTTCGTCCATGCCTTAGTGGTCTGGTGGTCTGATGAATGTGGAGCTCTGTCTGTTCCTGGGACAGGCCAATTCCCTCTTCTTGTTCACTGTGAGCAAGCTCCCTACATGAACTAGGCAGGACATTCACCTGTCCCCTAAGGCCTACCCAGGTCCAGGGCCCAGGCCCCCTAGACTGTGGCCTTCTTTAAAGCAGAACCTGACTATGTAGGGAAGTTCCCATGAGCAGAGAGGACAGTCCCGCAGGAGAGGAAATGGTTGGGAACAATCTACATCCACAGCATCTGGCCGGACACTCAGCCAATGTGACCAGGGACCAGAGAGCTGAATAGCTGATCCAAGAGAAATTCACATCAGTCTGTGGTATCCTGCTGAATGCTCCTGCATCCTCTGTCACTCTAGATAGGCCAGTGGCCCCAGAGAACAGGGAGGGTGGATTTTAGCTCCAGGCCAACAACAGACTTCTAGAGAATGACTTTGGTGAGCCTCCCAACGAACAGTCTGTTAAATATTGGAAAGCTTCCAGAATGCAGGCTTCAGTTTTCTGTGCACCCACATGCATTCACATACAAGGGTGTATATGTGCAAATAGGTGTTGACAAGGATGCACACATACTCGCATGCACATGCACACACTGGTCCATAAACATGTGCACATGTGCACACACACGGAAGCAGGTACCCACATGCATACACATGCATGCATACATACTCATGCTCACAAACAGGCAGGCCCAGCAATGCCCACCACACCACAGAAGCCACATTAGGGGGCTCTACCACTCTGGAACCACTCCACATCATACGGGCAGCCACCCAAGCTGAGCAATGCCTAAAAAGCAAAACGCACCAAGAAAAAGTCAAGGAGGTAGCAGATTGGACAGACACCCCCACCAAGAGCCAACAGATATGGGGTGCATGCAACACAGGAACCCACGGCTCTCCGAGGACTGGATGCAGCTGCCCAGCATGACACAGAACACACACATCTACAGCAGAGCAGTGAGCAAAGACAGCAGAAACTGCTACAGTTTGACCAGAGGGTCGGTCCGGGGATGTGTGTGCGCGTGTGCATCCGGAGCACACGCTCATGCCTGAGAACGGTAGCAAAAGGGGAAAAATGTCAGAAAAGCAAGCTGTTAATGGCAAGGACCCAGATCGGGGAGGAAACTCTTTGCTTTCTTTCTCCCTTTTTGAAACAATAAAAAGGCCATTAAAATAAAGGAAAAGTGAGTCAGCACCCCTGGCTTCCTGTTCACACTGGCGATTCCACGAGGACCTCTGCGGAGACCCCCTCGACAGCGAGAGGACCCACAGCAGACAGAAGACTCCCTTCCTGTTTCCCCCAACTTCGAGGCTCCGCCATTCTTTTGTTTCCACAGTTTCCCACTCGTGCGAGAGGAGCTGTGGTTTCCATTTTCCTGCAGATAAAGCTCCACTGGAAGGAATCCCAGGGTGGGTGACTGCCCACCAGCGCCTGTGCCAAGCCCCTGTCCCCACCTCCCGGGTCACCCGCCTTACGTCCAGTCCCAGCGAGTGAGCCTCTTGCCTTTTCTCCTGCTGCAGGAGGCTGACAGGCTCACCATCACACATGGGCGTGACTTTACTTGCCCAAAGGGTCTTTGCAGATGTTCCTCAGATCGCAAAGATCTTAAAATGGTCTCTTAGGGCCAGACAAGTATCCTTATTACACACAAAAAAAGAGACACAGAAGAGGTGGCCACGTGACAAGGAACAGACTGCAGTGACTTACTCATCAGTCAGTGCTGTCTGAGGCCACATGACAATGGCAGACAGGACAGCTGGCTGCCCTGCTCACACCTTGCCCTTGCCTGCTGAACTAGGAAAAGCAAGGACCACTATTACAACCCTTCAGCTGGGATATCCTGTCACCGTGGTCACAAGGGACTCTTAAAGGAAAGAGCACACGGCCTTTGAGGTCAGTGTCCAGAGAGGTCCCAATACACAGGCCAAAACAATATGCAGCACGATGCAAAATTAGTCACTTTCCCCGCATCCTGTGGAGGGTCTTCTGTGTGTTCACACCCCACGCTCCCACCCAGCCTTGGCATCGCAGCACCTGCCACCCACCGTGACACCGTTTCCTCTCCCTGGGGAGCCACCGCCTCTACTTTGGTCTCAGTCACGAAGGCTCCTCTTGCACCTCCATCCCACGCCACCACACTGGCCACCGTGTGAAAGAGCACAAACTGCTCCAGAATCAAGAACCCTGGAGGGAGATGGTCAGTGCTGTCCACTCGACCAGACAGAGAAGACAGACCTCCGGGCATGATGGTGGGGGCTATCTGGATTACATTAACTGAGGTAGGAAAGACCACCTCCATGGGGACGGCGGGGGAGGGGGGGGCGTTCCCTGGACTGTATAAGAGGGAGGCAGTGAGTGAAGCCACGGTCAAGCAGCCGTCATTCCCTGTTCTGACTGGGGATACGGTATGACCAGCTGCCTGAAGCTCTTCTGCCTTGACTTTCAAATCGCCATAATGAACTATACCTTGATCGGTGAGCTAAAATAAACCCATTCTCTTTTAAGTTGCTTTTGCTGGAGCACTTTAACCCAACAGGAAGAGACTAAGATACCGGGCAAGGCCAGGACAGAGATGGACGTAAGCGGCAGCAGCTGTGCCGTGTGGTCACCCTCACAGATCGAAAAGGTCTTTCCCTAGGGAACAGGACTACAAAGACTCATGAAGCTCAAGACTCAAGGTGGGTGAGGAGAGGAAACTGAGGCTCACTCCGGCTTACACACACACACACACAAATACACACACACATGCATGCACACACGCACACGTTTGGGGCTTCCTTCAAGTTTGAGATAGTCTTTCTACTGTAAAACACTGCATGTCCTTAATGAGATTATCTTGTGGATGGAACCGAGATGAAACCAAAACGTCTGAACACAAAACCGCACTCTAAGCACACAGCCTGAGGGTGACTTCCACATCGCAGCTGAACCCTATGCACATATTTGGGTTTTACGCTCGGTGGAATGTTCTGCCTGTGCTGTCATGCTGACACTAAGTTTCAGAAGTTAGGGTACTTTAGATTTTTGGGTTAGGGATTCCAATTTATATGAGACAGCAAGGTGAGAGAAAGCTCTCTGTGTACTTAGCTAAACAACAGAGACAGATGTCCTGTGGGCACATTTGGGAGCACGCCACAGGATCTGAAATACACAGCAAGGCACGGAGACACGCACTGGTGATCCCAGCTCTCTGGAGGCAGAAGCAGGAGACTGTGCATTCAAGGCTAGTTTGGGTTACACAGGAAGACCTAACCCCCAAAACTGGATATAGTGGTGCTAACCCAACTAGAAGGGTCCAGGGGCTGGCAGTACTCACCTGGGATCCGATAACCTCACATCAGGCTGTGTTTGTGCGTAGCAATATTGGCCCAGGGATACTGGCTGCACTCTGGGAGTAAATCTACAAACATCTGGGTGGAGAGGAGGAGATGGGCGATGAACGGAGGGTGACGCAGACATCAGCAACAGAGTTGCCACGTCCTACTGTGTCCTGTTCCTTTTTTCCCTAAGATTTTATTTTTAGTTTCTAATTAATTATGTGTATTGTGTGGGTATGTGCACATCGAGTGTGGGTGTCTTCCAAGGTCAGAAGAGGGTGTCAGACACCCTGGAGCTGGAGCTACAGGTGGGTGTGGGCCACCCAGTGTGGAGTGTAAGGAACAGAACTCTGGTCCTTGGCAAGAGCAGCAAGGGCTCTCTCTTGCCTGCTGAGATGGGACAGGAAGTAGGACAGGCATCACTTTGATACAGATTCAGGGACTCACTGTAAACGACAAGAACCTAAGGGTTCAGTGGCAGCTTCATCATGCTTGAGGAATCGGCAAGAATCACGTGACCCCTCCCAGGTCAGGGACCACGTCTCCCATGAGTTTGACAGTCACAGTGATCAGCAAGCATCACTGCTTGCAGGCGATACGTGCCTGGTGCTTGCCATTCCCCTGGGACAAGTATACAAAGGAGAGCTGAGGACCGGCCACACCCAGTGACTCTGCAGGCAGAGGACAACCACAGGGCCAAGGTCTTGACCATGAAATCTGCCCTGTATGGCAGCTCTGAACAAGCAGTTTATGTGGCAAACTGCAAAGGGGCTGGAGAGATGGCTCGTTTGGTAAAGGGCTTGAAGCTCAAGCATGAGGACCTAGTTCAGCGCCCCAGCACCCATGTGCAAAGCCAGACACAAGAGCAAATGTCTGTCACCCCTCTGCCCCTGGAAGACCTGATTCCCAGCATCACCGCTCACCTCTGTGAGGCGGTCCCCTTTCCACTCAGGACCCACAGTAAAAGCCACTATGAAATGCCTTGTGTGACAGCAGTCATGCTCTGTGTCCTGGAGCAACAAAGAGGCCCTCAGCCCACTGCAGGGGTGAGGGTGACACCAGGGGGCACAGCCCCCAGGCTGGAGAACGGAAAGCCTCTCTCCATCTTTAGCAGCTATAACGTAAGTGTGACAAAATGCTTCAGAAGAGTCCAGACACAAGACCGAGGCAGAAATACCCCGGTGATATCAGCGTTTACTCTAGGCAGAAATAACCTGGTGATATCAGCATTTACTCTGGAGACGGAAAGAGAATTTCTGCAGGCTCCCCCTGAAACAGGGGAGCGCATACACCCAAGTCCTCTGTGCCCCATTTTCCTATGTTTGTGTGTGTGTGTGTGTGTGTGTGTGTGTGTGCGCGCGCGCGCACACGCGCTGGGGCAGAGAGGGGGTTTAAAGGTCAACCTTGGGTGTCATTCCTCAGCCTCCATCCATCTTTTAATTAAAAATTTATACTACAACTTATTTATGTTTCACCGTGTAGAAGTAAGAGGATATCTTTTGGAAGTTGGTTCTCTCCTTCCATCATGTGGATCGTAGGGCTGGAATTCGGTGATCGGGCTTGGTAGTAAGTACTTTACCTGCTGAGCCATTTCAATGACCAGACTGTTCAGACTGTTTCTTGAAACAAAGTATCTCACTGGGACCAGGGACTTTTTCTATTAGGCTAAGTGGGCTGGCTAGCAAGCCCCAGGGCCACCTGCAGCCACACCTCCTCCAGGGAAATTTTTTTCTTTTTAATGTAGGTTCTGGGGATCAAACTCAAGTCTTTCTGCTAACTGAGCGATCTCCCCAGCCTGAGTCCCTATCATTTTCACAGTGAGATGTCTGTGCCGCGCCTCCCAAGCTCTCGGCAGAAATGACTCTCCTCATTTTACGTGACAGTTTCTTCCGGCTGAAATCAAATCCATGCCCGCCAGCTCACGGAGTCACGAGCGGTTACTTGTATATAAATGGGAATCTGTGACTCCCCACGGGCTCTTCCGAGATGGGTATCTACTTTAAAGATTGGCTCTGACCACCTCCCTGGTTGGGTCCAGCTGGAGGAAAGCAAGCCAGCCTCACAGCACCCTGGGGATGGATGATCTTTTCCTTGCCAGGCACGACAGACAAAGCTAGGGGCTCACAGGGGCAGCAGGGGGGAGTTGGTGATTTCTCCAGATTCCACACTTGAAACCCAAGCCGCTGGCTGCCCTGGGTTTTCAAACACAAGCAGAGATCCAATTCCGCCTGCTTAGCTGTGACCCAGTTTCTGGATTGTGGTCCAAGCCCAAGTCTGCAAAGCTCAGACACTGCTGGAGGCCCCGAGTGTCTGAGGCACCTGAGAGTCCAAGGATGAGCCAGACAAGGAGAAAACGAGGATGAAGGAGCTTGATTGGTCACAGTCACTGGAGAAATCAGAGAACTGTACCCAACGTGTGCATGCTCAGAGAACTGTACCCAGTGTACGCGTGCTGAGAGCAGTGTACCCAGTGTGGATGCTGACTCTATGCAGAACCTGCCCACAAGTCACGTGAAGGCAATGTTTTTCAACACTGGGTGAAAATATTTTTTTAAATAAAATGCAACAGAAAGGGCTGGGGAGATGGTTGGGAAAATGTTTACCTTGTGAACACAAACACGGAGTTCAGTCCCCAGAATCCATGTAAAAAGCCGGGCATGGCATGTGCTTGTAAATCCAGCCCTGGGGAGGTGGAACCAGATGGATCCCTCAGGCTTGCTGGCCGTCAACCTGGTCTAAACTGGCATGGCCCATAGTCAGCAAGAGACCCTGTCTCAAAACAAAGGTGTCTGGCAACAACACATGGATGCTGGCACATAGGGCCTCAAGTCACACGTCCCAGCCAAAATCTCAGTTTCTCTACTTCCTGGCTGAGAGACACCCCCCCACACACAAGAGTAAGTTTCCTATGTGTCTGTTTCCAATGCCTTCAGCTGTAAAGGGTGCAGGAGCTGGACCAGGGTTACAGGTGAGTTGGGGACCCCATATAATGGGCAAAAAAGCACAGGATGCGTTATTTACAAAAGTCACCATAAACACAGGATTATTCTTGCATTGATCCCACCTTTACAAGTCAATGCAGGGAAGCGAAAAAAAATCCTATTTGTTTATTTCTATGTGTCTGTGTGTGTCTGTATATCTCTATGTGTATGTGTCCGTGTGTGTCTCTGTATCTCTGTGTGTGTGTCTGCATGTCTGTACGTCTGTATATCTCTATGTGTATGTGTCTGTGTGTGTCTCTATATCTCTCTGTGTGTCTCCATGTCTGTATATCTCTGTGTGTATGTGTCTATGTGTGTGTCTGCGTGTGTATGTGTGTCTATGTGTTTCTGTGTCTGTGTGCACACGCTATGGTGAACATGTGGAGGTCAAGGGAGAGCAGGGGTCAATTCTCCTTCCCTTGGGTTCCAGGGATGGAACTCAGGTCATGGAGCGTGTGTGGCAAGTGCTTCTACCCAGTGAGCCGTCCCGCTGGTCCTCTTCACACAGGGACCTGATCGCCCTAGTCAGTGCTAAGGTCAGTGCAGGAGTGACGACAGACAGACCGCACACCACAAACTATCAGTTATGCTCACCTGACACCCTGGAAAACAAACCCTGGCGGCCAACACTCATGTGACCTGACGTCAAAGATGCCCAAGACAGCTTAAGGAATTCTGGAACTCAGGCAATGACTCCATGACAGGCTGTCTTAGGGTTTCTACTGCTGTGATGAGACACCGTGACCACACAGTTCTTTATGAAGGAAAACATTCAACTGGGGTGGCTTACAGTTTCAGAAGTTTAGTCTGTTCTCATCACGGTAGGCCACGGCAGCGTGCAGGCAGACATGGTGCTGGAGGAGCTAGAGTCCTATATCTGATCCACAGGCAACAGGAAGTGAACTGTATGCCACACTCCGTGTAGCTTGAGCAAAGGAAACCTCAAGTCCGCATCCACAGTGACACACTTCCTTCAACCTTCTAATAGTGCCACTCCCTTCAGGGGCCATTTTCTTTCCAACCACACAGGGGCATTTATGGAAATTCCCAGGATGGAACATTTTACAGGGTAGACTGTACTGTACTTGTGTTTACCATAATATATCATTCAAACTATCAGAACCCAACCTAGCAGAAACAATTTTAAAAGTCTTAGTAAGAAATCAATTTCATAATGAAAAGCCTCACCAAGAAGGAAACCTCAGGCTCTGATGGCCTCACTAATAAATCCAAACTTTGAAGAAAAAAATTGATACTGTAGTCCACAAAAACATTTGCCCCGTGAAGAGTGCTACAAATCTTAAACCAAGCAATATAGAACTCTCTTTTTAACTGTGGCTTACCACAATTTCAGTTACCCACCTTCAACCAAAGTCTAGAAATACTAAATGGAAAATTCCAGAACAAATGACTCATCAAGGTTATACTGTTGTGGCTGATCAGGGCAGGGTCACATCCCTTTGTCCAGTATATCCACACTGTATACACTACCCTCCTGATAGATGCTTTGTAGTCGCCTGAGCTGTCAATCAACTATTCCAATTCCCAGTGCTCTCACTCAGGAAAGGGCCTCAGCAGCAGTGATAAATCAAAGCTCACAGCAATCTCCCTGCTTCCATTTCTTTCTTTGGTTTGGTTTTTTTTGTTGTTGTTGTTTTTTTTGTTTTTTTTTTTTGAGACAGGGTTTCCTTGTGCAGTCCTAGAACTCACTTCTGTAGATTAGGCTGGCCTAGAACTCACAGAGATCTTCCTGACTCTGCCTCTTGGGTGCTGGGATTAAGGCATGCACCACCTCCAGGTTTAAGAGGATCTTGAAATACATTCACAATATCACACAACTATCATCAACTATTATGTGTTTATTACCTCCAAAGGAAAGCTTAAGACAGGATGTAGTCAAAGTGCTTGCCTAGCATGAAAAAAGGGGAGTGGAGGGGAGTCAATCCACAGCACTTAAAAAGACAAAAGAAAACTAGAAGCCCCAAACACCAGGCAGTTACTTCCACTCCACCTCCCCAGCTCGGGCGACTGATGCTGTTTCTGATCCTAGGACTCGGCCTGTACTGACATTTTATAAACAAGAATCGTGACTCACACTGCCTTTACTATGGCTACTTTCACTTAGAGTGCTTCGGGTTCAACTCAATTACAACACACAGAGGTGGTCCAATCTCTCCATGTGTGCACACACCACATCTGGCTTACCCACTTCATCCACATTGTTTAGTCCCTATTTCCAATTCATTTAGGGGCGGGCGTGGACGTGGAAGTGCTGGATCACAGGGAGTTTGGTTCTGTGCTTAGCTTTCCAAAGGGCCTCCACACTGCTTTCTCAGACAGCAGCACCATCTTACCCCCGACCAACCATGTCCCAGGGGCTCACTTTTTCCCCTAACCCCTTTGATCAAAGCCATCCCAGGGCAGTGGGAGGTGGGTCCCACTGTGGTCTTGGCTGGTATCTTCCTCTGACTAATGACGCCAGGAGTCTTTCCATGTGCTTCTGCCATCTGTGAACGGGACCACGCAATGCCATCTCGGGGCTTGTGCTTTGCTGGTTATCTGCTCTTCCACTGTGAAGTCTTAGCCCCGAACCTTTCCACAGGAGACAAGCGAAACATCCACCAAGAGACAAGCAGACCAACCACAGTACAACTGGCCAGCGAAGCGCTCTTCAGCACAAAAAGCCCCGAGCACTGACCCGCAAGAATCATGCATGAATCTCAGAGCCACAGTGCAGAGTTAAAGCGAAGACACAGCGAGTACAACAGGGCAGCTCTTCCTGCACCTCTTTCTTTCTGAAGGTTCGGTTATCCAGTCAATCACAGTCCAGAAATACTGAATGGAAAGTTCCAGAAATAAATAATTCATAAGGCTTAAATTACAATTCCAAGCATCCCAAAGAACTGTCACTACCAATTCCACCCCACTGGTGCAGCCTGCCTCCCTTCTCTCCAGAGCATCCACACAGCTATCCTCCATGCCTCCTGGCTACTTAATGGCATCAGTTACCAGATCGACTCCACACCACAGGCCTGCTCAGCTCCCTCTCACTTCAGTTAAAAACTGGCCCCAAGCAGCAGAAGAACGATGCTGGCAATGCAAAGGGGCCAAAGAAAGGATGGAAGAAGCCTTCCACCTGACAAGTGTTGGTTCACGGTTGCACTACAAGCTTGCACACATGCTCACACTTCCACTGCGCACACCCACACGCATACTCTTACACCTCACATTTCACATGCTCATCCACACAGTACACCCACTTACCCTCCACACACACCGTTCACAGGCTTCCACTTTTACCCTATCAATCTGCTATCCTTACACGCACATCACAGACTTCCACGCTGGCTCTGCCACTCACTCACACATGTGTACATTCATGCATGCGGGCAGGCCTCACCCTCACACTCCCACTTTCCACAGCTTCCCGTTTGCACTTAGGACTGTGTCCCCTAGTTGAGGGCAGTGGTCCATGAGATACAGCATCATTACAGATGCGACATATGGGGAGCATCCTCACAGACACACATGTGCTATTTGTATACACATAGGAGAAAACTTCCGTGCGTAAGTGCCTACTTATGTAAACAGGACTGAAGGCTGAAGTTTCAAGTAAACCCTTGAGCAGCTTCTTCATACAAGCAATCAACACGGCCCTCAGCGACTATTAACTTCTAATTATGGAGGCCAGGAAAGGGTAGTGAGCCCAGGACCCTCACCCAGACCCTAATCTGTTCCCAGCAGACACCGTAACTCCTCCCCTGCTCTGAGGCAAATCCCAAGCACCCTTTAGTGTCCTGTGCTCTCACGGTAACAACCACACTGTGGTCATAAAGACGGCCCCCATACCACTGTCACTCAGAAAATGTCTGTCTCACTGCCTAGCTCTGACAAGGACTCCTATGAGAGGCTTTGAGAAGCCTGAAATCTCCAAGTGCCCCCTAGACGCCATTCAGAGGAGAGGTGCGATCAGGGCTCGCGTGGACAGTATACGAGAGTTTAGACCAAATGACAGGACCCTACAGTAAGTAGGGTGGGGCTGCTGACCAAACCAGGGTCAGCAACAGATGTGCAATGGTGCAGCACAGGTCAGTGACTCAGGGAGGGGTACAGCTGCAAAGGAAGCTCCCAAGAGCAAGCCAGCCATGGGCTCTTCCCAAGAAGCTCCGTCCTTGGTGTCTGCTCTGGGGAGGACCAGCAGCTCACCCCGTAACAGACCAGGTTAACCGTATCTTCTAACAGAATGCCACTTCTTTCTACATCTCCTGGCAAGAGAGTTGCACTGAGGCCTAACAAACCTCTCTCCCTTGCCTGACCTGCCTAGCTTTGGGCCACACCCTGAGTCACCCAGGGACAGCCACGTCTTCAACTAGGATGGCAGAGACAGGCTGCCCAGACTGCAGCTGCCAAGCTCAGGATGGCTCTTAGCCAAGGGAACAAAAGGGACCCTCCCCTCAGACTCAGCCTCAGCAAATCTCACCAGTACCTCCACCATCTAGCGGTCCTTCTGGAATTGTCACCATCAGAGAGAAATAGACTGGGTGTGGTGGCCCACACCTGTAACCCCAGCACTCAGGAGGCTGAAAAGGGAGACCAGGTCATAGACCAACCTGGGATACACAGTGAGACCCTGTAGTAAGACCCGTCCTAAGTAGGAGGGAGGGAGGAAGGGAGGAAGCAAGGGAGGGGGAACTGCCCCCTGCTGGCAACTTCCAGCAGCTGCTTTTTCCCAAGACCACCTTGGGCAATCAGCATGTTCATGCTAAGGCTCCCTGGGAGCTGGGAGACAAGGGGACAGGAAGCCTGAGGGAAGCAGAGGGTGCACCTTTTCCAGGAGTCCTCAGAACCCGGCAAATTCTAAACACGAGGGAGCCGTTTGCTCTAAAGGACAACAATCAAGAAGCAAATTCCAAATTCCCCTCTAAGACATTGCACAGTTAACTCAGGTATAACAGGGATGCCCTGGAGGTAACGAAGGTCCCAGCCCAGGAGCTCTGGCTCCAGGTTCACCCTGTATAACAAAAGAATCAAGATAAAGGAAACTGGGTCCCCCACCCTCCCTGGGCAGGCTCCTTAAAGAAGCACCTCAAATGGCTTGAGAAAACCATTGATCTTCGAGATGCATTATTGATTGGGCCGTCCATTAGCACACATTCCCACAGCACTGAACTGTGCCACACACCAACCATGCCTGGGGTGCGGTAGGCCTCTTTGGACACCATCCATCAAGAGCAACCTATAGAGGAGCAACTGTCCACAAGTGGATGATGTCACCCGAAACACTGCCCTGGTCCCAGACCCACTGGACCCTGGAGGCAACATGGTCCATGTACCATGCACCTCAACCCGCAGTCCAGGACAGGCTACCACTTGACTCCAGCCACCAGGGAGGAGGAGTCTGTAAAGCAGACTATGTGACAGTCAGGAGTCATAGGAGTCCACGGACAGAGAGACGTCGTGGCTCCATTTCAGAGGACAGACAGACTGAAACAAGCCCATTACAGAAAGACAGCCTCTGACTCTTGCCCTGGATCCGGATCTCACAACATCATGCGAGAAAGGGATCCTGGGCAGAGTTGCAATTGGTACAGGCAGCAGGCTTTGTTTCTTTGTTTTTACTTGCCGTGTGGACCAATCAGACACCTGAGTCTTAAGGTCTGGAAGGGCAGTCCTTGCCCATACAAGCATCGCTCATCATTCTAAACTTCCTACTTATCTATGGATGATCGTTCTGACATGATGTGCACAGACAGCAACGGTCAAAGTGACAATCAGGCCATTATAGTCGCTACGGGGATCTTCCCCCACCACTGCCCAAGGCTGCCTGCTTCTGGGACGTTGTAAACATTCCCAGATAGGCAGCCAGGAGACAAGTTGGACGCCAGGGGCACAGATGATGTGACAGGCCGCTGGTGTCACTTCACCCTCCTGGGAAAGAAACTTCCGTTTGGTAGCGCCTGGTAGACCTACAGCAGGGTCAGATGGCTGGCTACAGGCCCCGGTCCAGTGAGAGGCTGGCCACCCACGGTCCTGGGCTGTGCTCAAAACAGTGAGGTTTTCAAAACAAAAGCAGCGCAAGTTCATGTGGCAAACGCCCCAGAACGTAGGGGCAGGCCTTCCACCACATGCTTCATTTGAAGCAAGACTCCCCGTTCGCCCACAGAGAGACGAAACCGAATAAATATAAAGGACAGCTACGTGCTCGGCTCTGTTTTTCACGCCATGACTGGCAGAGCCCCAACCGAACCAGCCCCCTGCAAATCACCGGGCGCCAGCAACAGGTGCAGCCCGAGCTAAAGCTTTTGGTGCCGGGCGGTTCTAGAATTAACGCAGCCCGAATCTTCCAGGAAGCCAGAGCCTTGCAGCGCCCACTGCCCGGTGGTGGCGACCCTACAGCGGCAGCTCTGTGAGCCGCACCTGTCTGAGTGCACCGCGCCACATCCGGTGCACCCGAGCCAAGGCCTGGGAGACCGAAATAGAAGCCGGTT